TCCAGTATGAAACAGAATTCTCATATGCGGCGCTTCCTACCGCCTCTGATAGTGGCTCATCAACTCTTCACATGAATAAAGAAGCCGTAAAACAAAGTTAAATTTTACTCGATCTCGTGCTGGTATTAAGAATGCGTGGAGCCTTATCTCCCCTCTCTACTGCGTCTTCGAGACGAAGAGGGTAAGGTAAGGAAAGTTGTTCTGTTCTTAATTAACCAGGCACTGTGAGATGAAGACATGTGGGAGTTGAGCTATAGCTGCACCATTCTTGAGCCCAGCGCTAATTTGCTGTTACTGGATATGAGATACGTTTCATGTCAACAATCTGGAAACTAAATTCTCAGCTAGACTGGGTGAGCTTTGCAGAGCTAGGTATGGTGATGTCTGTTGGGGGAGGGGGGTTGTCGGTAGCAGTGCCTGGTGAAAGCATACGGCTCCATATAGGAAGCTGCAGGAATCCACCGAACCGGTGTGCGCGGTATAGTGAAAGAGCCCCCTGCAGTAGCATACGTACCTTTACCTATCATGGGTCGATTGATTACCATCATATCGGTGTCACTGCGTAAATACGGCGTCGCCCGTTGAAATCGCTTAACCTTGTACCCACCCCCCGCACCCCCGGAGTTAGTTCCATCCCATCCTTCCCTCTTCGTGTTTGTTCCGACAGCATTAACAACTTGCAGTACAACACACAACTGTCAAACAGCGTGTAAACAGTATTGTACTTAAGCATCCTGTTGCATTAACGTGAATGTTAGTACATTAGCGTACACTGCACGGCCGGTCAGAGTAGCCGTGCGGTCTAAGGCATGAACTTTCTTCGCTCGCTCGGACGCTGGGATCGTGGGTTCGAATCACACTCAAGGCATGGATGTCTATGTGTGCGTTTATTCTGTATTTTTGTTGCCCTGTGTTTAGGTAGTGACCTTGCGACGAGCTGTCACCCGTCCAAGCAGTACTACCGTGTGTGCAAAAAAAGATTACGAAACTGAAGAAGAGGTCAGGATCCAGCAAAGGGCTGTAGTGCCACTGATGAATGAGCAAATGAATGAAGGACAAACAGTGCTTTAAAATTTACTTCTCTATGCAATTGACATACTGTGAAACAATTTAAGAAGGAAAAGATATATCTAATAGTGGCCGTATACGGCTAAGATAACTTGCTACCATTCAGTCCAGAACCTCTTGCCTTCTCGTCTGCTGTCCAAAAACATAAAAATTAGAATATACAAAACTATAATTTGGCCTGTGGTTCTCTATGGGTGTGAAACTTGGTCTTTCACATTAAGGGAGGAACATAGACTGACGGTGTTTGAGAACAGGGTGTTGAGAATATTTCGACCGAGGAAACATGAAGAGACAGGAGGTTTGAGAAAACTGCATAATGAGGAGCTTCATAACTTGTACTCTTCTCCAAGTATAATTAGAAAGATCAAGTCAAGGAGGATGAAATGGGCAGGGCATCTAACACGAATGGGGGGGAAGAGGAATTAATGTAGGATATTGGTGGGAAAACCGGAAGGAAAGAGACCACTAGAAAGACCAAGGCGTAGGTGGGTGGACAGTATTAAAACGAATCTTAGAGAGATAGGATGGGATGATATGGATTGGATTGATCTGACTCAGGATATGGACCAGTGGAGGGCTCTTGCAAACAAGGTAATAAACCTTCGGGTATCATAAAATGCTGGGAAGTTCTTGAGTAGCTACACAATTGGCGGCTTCTCAAGAAGGGCTCAGCTCCATGGGTGAGTGATACGGCTAAGATATGTCGTAGTAAGAAAGGACATGCCCTAAAGACAGAAATAGAAATTACAATGAAACAATAATATATTGAGTGTAGATACATTTTCAATGCTTAATTCAGTGAAGTTCTCCCTGCGTTATAAAAGAAAGTATATATTTTGTTAACAACATAAATACCAGCGAAATGTTCAAATAAACATGTAAAAGTTCATATAAAATTATGTGGCTGGGATATTAGGTGATTTCAAGCGAATACTTGCTTTGATTTATTTGTTGTATTTTCCGGTTATTTAATGGATCCGGGGTAGCTCAATCGCTATAGAGACTAGTCTACGGGAGTGTTGGGGTTTGAGTCCCGGCAGGGACAATAAATTTATCTCTTCTCCATGATGCCCAGACCGGTTCCGGCGTCCAACCAGCATCCAGTAGAACGAGCACCGTGGACCGTTTCCCCGGGGTGCAAAACGGCAGAACGTGAAGCTGACAACTCATCTACATCTAGTGCAGACGTTAAGAGTGGTGAAGCTACACCTCCACTCCCCCATACCTCTTCATGGCCTAATGCTTAATTAATTAAGCATAAGAATTACTTTGCTTTATTTATTTAGTGGCGATTTCAATATTCATTCATTCATTCATCAGTACTCTGTCAGACGACAGGTCCACAGTCTCTTCCAAAACAGTTCCTCCACTTAATGGGATCTTCTGNTAAGACGTTAAGAGTGGTGAAGCTACACCTCCACTCCCCCATACCTCTTCATGGCCTAATGCTTAATTAATTAAGCATAAGAATTACTTTGCTTTATTTATTTAGTGGCGATTTCAATATTCATTCATTCATTCATCAGTACTCTGTCAGACGACAGGTCCACAGTCTCTTCCAAAACAGTTCCTCCACTTAATGGGATCTTCTGTTTTTGGAAAGAGACTATCCAGGAAGGTGATAATGTGGTCGTTTTTCCATTTGCTTTCCACATCGCAGTACAGCAGCCGTTCAAACCACTCTGGTCACGCCTGTTGCTATACGAACTCGAACCATCTTGAGCATCATTTGCTCTGTGCTTCAAGTCGCTGCTGATGACGCTGCTTCCGGCATCAGTTTTTGGTGTCTCTCTTCTTCTGATGCCTACCCTTTGACCTGTCCAGCAAGGGAGGCCCTGCCAGTAGCTACGCTACCGCTGGTATAGCTCTCAGGGTCCTTGGCATACTCAAACCCCCTCACCACGATAAGGTGGAGACACCAACGAGGGGGGATTTCAATATATCACTTTGTATAATGTGAAATTAGTGAAGGCCTTGTCATATCTCAGGCGGTTAGTCGCCGGCTTACCACCGTGGCGGCCCGAGTTCAATCCCAGTTCAGATCATGTGGGATTTGTGGTCGGCAAAGTGGCACTGGGGCAGGTTTTCTCCTGGTAATTCGGTTTCCTGTGCCAATTCTCATTCCACCGACTGCTTTCAATTGAGTGAAGTGACGTGAAATAGCTGGTTGGTGAGTAAGAGGATTCAGTAGTCAGTTATCAGCAGTTNCAATATATCACTTTGTATAATGTGAAATTAGTGAAGGCCTTGTCATATCTCAGGCGGTTAGTCGCCGGCTTACCACCGAGGCGGCCCGAGTTCAATCCCAGTTCAGATCATATCGAATTTGTGGTCGACAAAGTGGCACTGGGGCAGGTTTTCTCCGGGTAATTCGGTTTCCTGTGCCAATGCTCATTCCACCGACTGCTTTCAATTGAGTGAAGTGACGTGAAATAGCTGGTTGGTGAGTAAGAGGATTCAGTAGTCAGTTATCAGCAGTTCAGTTGAATGAAGTGACGTGAAGTAGCTGGTTGGGGAGTCAGTTCAGTTTTCAGTTGTCTGCAGTTCAGTTGAGTGAAGTGACTTGAAGTAGCTGGTTGGGGAGTCAGTTCAGTTTTCAGTTGTCAGCTGTTCATTTGAGTGAAGTGACTTGAAGCAGCTGGTTCGTGAGTGAGAGAATTTAATTGTCAGTTGACGAGTTTTCTGGACGGGTGGCTATGGCAAGGCCACCTGAGCGCGGGAAGTTGAAAACTCTCCCTCGTTAGAAGCTGTTGTCAGGAAACGGCTAGTGGGGACCGCAATAGACTGTAGTCACAAGTTTCTATGGGTCAGTGATTTGTAAAGTGTAGTTCCAAGTAGTCAATGAATCCATTCACCAATCCATATCCTATCTATCGCCACTAATACATGTGACATTATTGTGGTTAGTATTATTTATAATAATTATTATGAATACTTTTTGTTATAATAATAATTAGAAATCTATTTGCCACCTGCTTTCACGCTGGTTTCGTGCTGGGCTTATTCTTCGACACTGAAAGTGGAGCTGAAGTGTTCCTCCGAAACACTGGTTTTGCTTTCAATAGACTTCGTGACGTTATACCCCAGAAGACAGAGCTCTTCATAACCACCGTTGTGAGGATCTCAAATTCTACATGAGAGAATATTATTTTCGAAACTGAAGAAATGAAAGGACGTAGATATTTTCATTTTTACTTATCACTTCAAAAATAAATACCGAAATTGTTGAGTTAGTAACATTAACCAAATTAATTATTTAAATAGTTTCTCAGAAGAAAAAACTTTTAACTTCTGCAACCAGTTCGAGGAAGCGAAACGATAATGTTAATTCTGTTATGACCAGTCTGTTTCATGAGCAGTTTCGTAATGTCGCATTTATAACATCTGTCACAGAATGACTCACAACTCATAAGAGATACTTTCGAAGCAGTATTGGTCTACGTGGGAACAGTGAGAGGAAAACAAACTGTTTAATTTTAAACCGCCTTTTCAATTAGATATATATGGAAGTTATTGAATGTATATAAGTGACATGATTATTTGTAATCAGAGTTTAAGAACAGTGGGTCTAAAACAATAAACACAGGACAAAATTCTATAAAGGGAAACTTTTCTTTTAATGTCCGACTGGTTAATTAAACCTTGATTGTAGTTTAGTTTTATGAACTTCATACTTTGTGGCACTTAAAATTAAATAAAACTTTGAACACAAAATTATTATTTAATAGAAAATATAAGGAAAATTCTAACACATAATGCCCAAAATTGTCCAGCACTCAACCGAAGCACATTTAGTACCTAATACCAGTGGAAATGTCTGTATACACTTTGTGTCAAATTCCTGTTTCCTAAGGTCTTTAGCGCTGTTGTATCTAGTACTGATGAAACTGAGGCACTCTTTTGCTGACGTGCCTTTTCAACGCGTGTTGCAGGAGTTTGGGTGCTAAGCTTCGTGATCTGCTTTCCGCCGTTGGTTGGCTGGAAGGACAAACGGGAAGAACCGCCCCACGTCAACCATCATTCCTCTCGGCCACTCTCCCCAGCGACCTCGGCACTGCAGGTGAGAAAGACCACAAGTAATTTGGAGATCTCGAGATTCCATATAATTCCAATTTTTACATGGCACTACAGAATATTTTGCGTCCACTAATCACAATGTGTGAACGTAAGAAGAAGTCATAAGTTTTCGCAGAAATTCTCGTTTCCAGACAAGTTACGGTCTAATACTGATACAGTTATATCGTATTATATTGAAAGAAGCTTTGTTCCTATATTGAAGACGGGCATCAGCACTTTTGTGACCAACTTCCGGCCATCTTTATTCTTAGGCGACATCTGCACAGAAGTATTATATATGACCAGCTTTCATTTTATTTTAAGTGTACACTGCATCCAAACCGCCTCTGTGGTCTAGTGATCAGTGTTCCTGGCTACGGATCCAGAGGTCCGGGCTCGATTCCCAGCGCTACCAGATTTTCTGAGAAGTAGTGAGTCTGGAACGGGGTCCACTCAACCTCGTGAAGATAATTAAGGAGTTCTTTCAAGGAAGTAGCGGCTCCGGTCTAGAAAACCGAGATTAACTGCCGTGGGTATTCTTTGCGCTGACCACACGACACCCTCTATCCGCAAAAGTTGGCAGTAACTTCGCCGACAAGCGACGGTCGCTCGGTCGATATAGTTCGCTTGCGGACTAGAACCACGGAGTTTGTTTATTTTTTGTTTTGTTTACTGCATCCATCATAGATCGGATTTGCTAAATCAAAATAAACTATAACTATTATAATTATCTTCGTAAACATAGTTATGCTTATTTTCTGCTCAGAAATGAGGGTTGTTCCCATTTACGTTGATCTGAGTACAGCCTTGGATGAAGTTGTGCTAACTGCATATATTGTGATATATACTACCATAGTCAATAAGTTCATGGACTGGCCAAAATGCGTTGTTGCAGTGCACTATAGTGGATAGGTTGAGGCACGATATGATGCCCTGTTAGTTCATCTCTCATCACAACAAGAGGCAGTTATGTGCAAACAGTGTCAGCAGAACTACGGCTTCTATTGTGAACTGCAGTTACATGCAAGTGGCGGACATTGAAAATGTGGCAGTTTGAAGAACGGGCAGACATCAAGTTCTGCCAGAAAGTAGGCAAATCCCCTAGCGAAAGATTTGGCATAGGAAGAATTGGCTGTTGCTACACGACAACGCCCCTGCACATCGCTCTGTTCTTGTCCAAGAGGAACTGGCAAGGCAACAGGTCACCGTTTCGCCACACCCTCCGTACTCACCTGATCTCGCACCGTGCGATTTCTTTCTCTTTCACTGCTTGAAAGCAAAGCTACGTGATTGTAGATCTCAGTCGTCCGAGGAGGTCGTCACTGCCACAAGAGACGCCGTACGAGAATTTCCTGCCAGTATGTTTCAGCGGTGTTTTCGGCAGCTATAGCAACGTTGGCAGACTTGCATAGCGGCCAACGGCAACTATTTTGAGGGCTGATGTGAATTTGTTTAAATGTATGTGAATACCTTGTAATATGATGGGATAAAACCTCATTCCACGAACTTAATGACTATTCCACGTGGATTCATTGCTCCTGAACGCGTTGGGAAACAAGTTTCCTGGGATACCGATACATTATATAATGGTCGTTCAGATAAGAACTAAGAGATATTCAAGTCAATCGTAAAACAGAAGTCAGTCACTGTCAGTCAGTTGTCAGTTGAAAGTCAGCCTATGAAGAGAAGCAGGGACCAAGAAGGTCCACCACTTATACATTCATGAAGAGAAGACTAGAAGGCAGTGGTAGTCCAGTCAGAATGGAGCGAGTCTTAGACAGCAGTTTGTCTGAGTCATTGTGAATGATTGTGATTATATGTGAATGGAAAAGAAGGCGTTAATAAGTCCAGTCATAAAATCCAAACATCACTATTATAGTCACGCAGCCATAAGGACGTGACAGTACGTAACAGTTCGGGAATATGTTCACAACGTGGTTACATACAATTTAGACCGCTTCTGCCGTCACATTGAGGGAAAATCCCCCCCCCCTTGTTTTCTTGTGTATGACAATGTTCCGCCCTGGGTTCGTTTAGTGTAATATTTTTATTACAGATATTTATGTCGAAATTCATCACTTTTTTATTTTTTTGTTATTTGTTGATTTATTGAGCAAAGTTGATATATGATTACTAACGTTTTCAAGGGAGTAGTTTATCGAAAATTGTATAAGCTTTAAGATTTTGAATCTAATTTTATTTCCTCTGCTCCTGAAGCTTACGGTGTCCATTGTAACTACCATATTGGCGATTTTTAATTTTTATTACCGACTGTGTAGAATATTTCCGTGTTACACTTAGCAGTAAACTAAGATTTCATCGGCATTCCAGTTATGTGTTCCGAGTTATTAAAGATTATAGGGCTCGTTCTTTTCATTAAAATAATTTTTTTTTTCTTGGATAGCAACAAGGATCTATGTTTTTTCTATTCCGCTCAAAGCTTGCACATGCGCCGATCGTGTAGAATAACCTTGACTTCACAGATTCCAATAACATTTTTAATACAGAAAAAAATTTGCAAATTTAATTTAGTGATTTTATCTCTCTGACTTATATTGCAATTATGACTTGATTCTAGCATAATAAAAATTATAACTCTCTATTCCAGACAAAAGCATCTTGATGATTCATTTCTCCTAAATATCTTTAATGGGAAAATAAACTCTCTCCGAATCATGGATACTGATACTTTTTGTGAACCAGGTAAATTTACTGGCAGCTCTTCCATTTTTAATGCAAACAACAGTGTAAAGCGATGTCCTTCAGCCAGCCGTGCAACGCTGCTAGTAGTGTGTGTTAGTTTTTTACGTCCATAATATGAATGTAGTTTTCCTGGAGGATGTCTTTCCTTTGTATACCCCTAGTTAGTTTGTTGTTTTTTATGTACATATTTTATCTCTCTTTTCCTTTATATTTATTTTTCATTTAAAGTGCTTGTTCATGAAAGGTTACAACTATTGACAAGCACTCTAATAAATTAATTTAATTATTATTATAATGTTTTTGTTTTTGTCTTTGTGGTGGTTAACATCGTCACTGCTTGTTTCTGGAGTGAACATAATTTGTGTTACCAAATTTGGTCTTCATTTGTGTTTTAATGCAGGAGAAGCAGAGCTAGATAACCTAACACCATGACGTTCCTCTTCATTCAGCAAACAAAACCTAATCATTTTATCTGTCTTCTTTCCCTCTCTTTCTTCTGCATTTCATGATGTGAACAGGAAATATGTTCCAATTTCACAAACTCTGTCTCTTGTTTGGTCTATAAAGTCAAACCGGTTTCTGTCAACTGTCACACTATCCAAATAGTTTACTCAATTTCGTTTTTATTCATCTGTTTTGTACCGATTACATTTTCAGTTCTTTCTTAATATCATTATTTCTGTGTGGTATAATGCAGCGTTTAACTGTTCTTGAGTATCTCATACCTGCGCATCCTTTCGCTTTAATTGTCTAAGATCGTATCTGCCTATCTATCTATCTATCTCTCTCTCTATCTATCTATCTATCTATCTGTCTCTCTGTCTGTCTGTCTGTCTGTCTGTCTATCTATCTATGAGCCCATCTACGAGCTATCTCTCTATCTATTCATCCATCTATCTATCGCATCCTACCCAATTCTTCCTATTCGCCAATTTGGTCTCCGACCAATAGCCCATGGATCATCGCTAATGAGCGTATATCCGCAAGCCACCTCAACTGCTATATCATTATGCTGAATGTATACTACAGATTGCATAATAAAATGGGAGTCTATAAAAAAAATCCATCTATCTATGGTTCTACAGCCCTTGTGAACCCTGGCACTTTTTCAGTTTCTTAATCCATATACAGTTGGCAGGACACCTTGGATGGGAAATCAGCCCTTTGCAAGGCTGCTACTTACACATAGAACAACATAAACACAGAATGTACGCACACAGACATCCATGCTTTGAGTGGGATTCGAACCCACGATCCCAGCTTTCGAGGGAGCAAAGACAGTTGATGCCTCACACCGCCCGGCCACTCCGATCGGCAAGATAATTTCCATATTCGTAGATAGTTCTGCTAGTTTATAAAATTGAAAAGGCGGTTCTTTCCTTTAATGTTCTTTTCTAACGTTCACATCGCTCCTTATAATTAACAGCTAACTTTCTATACTGAGAGTTCCTGCATTTGCTTTCATTGTTTTATATTCCTAGATGCAATATTACATCGCGTCCTTCAGATGTCACATCTATCAAGCTGCTGCTCACCTCACTGAAACTTCGACATATTTGCACACTACCTTGTCGCTACTTTTACTAAGAATAAATTTGGCTCATAGGAACTGCGGTAAGCAATTGAATTCTAAGGTGGAATATAAATGCGTAATTTGTGAGTGAATTCAATATGCCCGCCTAGTTACAATGCAGCGCATGTACTACGTAATAAAGACAACTGCAGTGCTGCTCCACGCGGCGTGATACGAATACAGAAACTTTGTTTCCGTGGTGGGAATATGATAGTGCAATTAACTCACGAACTTCACTAACTACATCACCCGCATCGCTTTTCGTTTGTTATATTCGCCGCCTTCATTTTCATTCCCTACTAATTTTAATATTAACTCCATCTCGGACTTCATTTAAATATATTAGTTGGAAAAGACAAAATGTCCAGTGGCAGAAACCAGAAAATTTTCCCTTCCTAACAAGTTGGCTTGTTTATTTACGTCATACTGTAACTACACAAACTTTATGAGGATTGGTACCAATGTTTTACAAATTTAAAACAGCCCATTCCACTCATAGTTTCGTCGAAAAAAATGGGTGCATGTTCATGGGAAATATTTTCCAAACATACGAGCCGGTATCGCGACTGGCTACGGCCTGGACGGCCGAGGGATAGGAGTTCGAGTCCCGGTGGGGCAAGAATTTTCTCTTCTCTATGTCGTCCAGACCGGCTCTGGGGTTCACCCCACCTCCAATCCAATGAGTACAAGGTGCTCTTTCCCCGTTGGTAAAGCAGCCGGGACGTGAAGCTGACCACTCACCGCCTGTTAGTGTCTAGGTCAAGAAAATATGGATCTATACATCCACTCCCCCATACGCTTTCATGGCATAGTGCTTAATTAGTTAAGCACAGGGACAACTTTGCCTCACTTTACCTACGTCTTACTACTTGGCTATGAACGGCTAATAATGACCCAGATATCAGCGCGCAAAACGTATCACAGTCGTCTAGACGAAAGTTTCGTTAATAAATTGCAACTTGTTTACGTTGTAGCTGTTCTTCTTTTCCGTACATATAGAGAGCCATTTTTCGTTTTGTCATGCTACAGCCTTTATAAGCCATTCTCATCCCCTTCCGTCAGTTCCCTGTGAGACACAGCAGTAGACTTAGAGCGTTTAAATATTTCAGTGAAAGTCAACACCATCTTCTAATTACAAAGCTCGTTTAGTTCCGCGGCTTGCTGACAGAGCGCTCTTACATCTATTCTCCTCTGTGTGTAATCTGGATTTAGAGCGAGAGGATGTGCCATCCTTTTCTATTTATTTTCGCTCACGAAAAGACATCACATCTCATCTAGTAACCTACACTAGTCCAGACTTCTGTAGCGGTTGGACGAGCAAAGTGAAATTAAATTGGTTCCAAAAAACACACGAAGTTCGTGTCTGTCATAAAAGTGCAACGAACCACAAGCCAAGTAACTTTTCGTTTCTTTGATGACCAGTGAATAGAACGAATTATGAGGTTCTTGGCTGAAGAACTTTCTCCATCCACCCGATACTTCCTCTGCCGTAGGTCCAGATATTTCCGACGAAAACTTGTCCCTGTGCATTTGTTATGTTCTCCACACGCATGACAATTCTTTCCGGTTTCGTCTCCTGTATGTTAAACATGCCTTACTATGTCAACCTAACGGGGTTTCCCGGTATTCGTGTTACTGTCTTCTCAGTGGAAACAATATTTCGCTCAGGTATGGAAAATTAATCCCTTATAAGCTCAACAATATCTCAACAAAAAATGAGAGATAACCGTTACACAAACAAATATTTGTGTGTGTGTGTGACGGCGACTCCATTTTTATTTTAAGCACCACAAGCAGGATGCAAAACGACAAGATTATCAGAAACATCTTCCGTCACCGTTTTGGTGTAGAGACTTGACTAAAGTGCTTACTTCCTCATCATTTTATTTTGTCTTAATTGTGTTTACTTGTGAATATCATTTCGTCCGAGACTGCGTAAATGTCACTAGCAGTAGCCTACGTGGCTGCGCTCGTGCCTACGTTCACGGCAGTCTGTTGCATTTGAATGTTATATTTGCTGAGATTTCAAGCAAGGCTGTGACTGTATTGTGTGCATCAGTATGTATCTCATTGAACTTTGAAAGGATAAACACACATGTGTACACATGCCACAAGCTACTAGCCACTCAGAGCGAGTGATGACACGGCCCGAAATCGATGGAGATGTAATATATATTTCTAGGACTCGTTTTGTACGCAGGAGGCTAGTTTTGGACATCCAGTCACTGAGCAATATCAAGCTATTGGTCCTGGAAGTCGTGAAGATGTAAAGGCAAGAGACAAACGGGTTAAGAACTCATGGCAAAGAGGAACTGAATATACTTGAAAGAATGTTGTTCTTATTATTTTCTTCTATCCCACTAACCCTTCTACATTCCAGTGTAAGTTATTTTTGACAGTTAACTTCATACGTATGTGAAGCATAGACTTTATAATAAAATTTAACAAGAAATTATCGGATCTGCGAAAAATACGCCGACAACCACGTTTTTGTGGCGCTATTAGCAAGTGGGCCATATATCAGCCAATGTCATGATGGTAATAAAGATAAATCTATCCCTGTAACAGACCGTGGAGGCCCATAGTGTTGTGAGACGTCGAGACTCACGCATCTTCTAGGCACTCAGTTCGCAGATGGCGGTGAAGTTGTCAGTCTTATGCGACGGCAGTCCTTCATCTCCAGGAAGATTCCTTTTACAAAATTAAGTGGTCGTGTCCTAATTGAGATATTATCCCAGCGTTTCCCCGGAAAGACTGATGAAAAACCACGAAAGTCGATTACCTCCTTGATGCGAGTCCAGAGCGTTAGTCGCTGCGCCATCTCGTGGCATCATACAAAATCAAGTAATAATGACCTCTGTGATTTACGTGCATGTGCCTGCGCTTCGTCAAACTTTGCTCGAGGGATATTAAAGTGAATTTTAGTGAAATTAGACACAAGAAAGTGAACCGAGTTAGACACTGGCAATACGAAGCATAGAGCAAAGAATTTGTTTTTGTAGTAGGATTTAAGGTTAAGGGTTATATCAGCAGTTATCCGATTTAGTAGGTAGGATTATGTTGATCGGTGATAGGCAGTAAGTAAAGTAAAAGTATCCTTTTAACAGGCCGTGAAGGCCCACAGGGTTGTGAGATGTTGAGGCTCCCACATTTTCTAGACAATCGGCTCAAAAATGGGGATAAGGTTGTCAGCCTTATGCGCCGGCCGCCCTTTATCCCCAGGAATATTCCTGGTACTCATTTCTGTTAGAGGCTGAGTCGACCCCAGGGCCATAGTGCGGCTGGAAGGATTAGGTAAAGTGAAAAATCCACCTCATCGGGATTCGATCCCGCTACCTTCCGGCTTGTAGCATAGTGCCTCAACCAACTACGCTACCGCGTGCCCCCTTAAGTAAATAGGTTTGTTAAGTAGGGATGTGACCTACATAGGTGGCTATATATATGTGGGAAGGGGACACGGGAGAGACAGAACGGATGGTTATTAATTAATTGGTTAGTTGATTAGCTAAGTATATGTAAACTTTGAAGTATGAGATTAATTTAAGTAACTTTTAGTAATTAAGTTCATAAATCACGAAACACAGACTGCTTCTCCGTTTTGAAGCCCACCTGGTTAGTTCTTTATACCTTTTATTCTGACATAATATAAAATATATAAATGTATTCTGCGGATAAACTTAAGAGGAGATATTTTCTGTTGAAGTGACACACATAACAACCACTTTGTTTGAAAATGTTAACCAGTGCTACAGTGAGAGTCTGCCACTGTGCAGGTACCGACGCCATGTCCCTGGATCTGTGAGCTAACGAACGACGCTGGCTACGTCGTGTACTCGGCGCTGGGCTCCTTCTACCTGCCCATGTTCGTAATGCTCTTCTTCTACTGGCGGATCTACCGCGCAGCGGTGCAGACAACGCGTGCCATCAACCAGGGCTTCCGTACCACCAAAGGCTCGCGAACCATTGGAAGCCGCTTCGACGAGCAGCGCCTCACACTAAGGATTCATAGGTCAGTGTTTCCTTCCCTGTCAATGCTAAAACATTGCCGCTGGACAGCCACTTATCTTGCGCAGATGGTAACACTCGTAGAAAATATCTCGGGCCATGGGCTTAATTTATAGGCTTATCCCACTGTTTGAAGGACGAAGGAAACAGCTTGAGAAGGGAAGTTATGCCGAATACGGCATACAAAGGAAAGATGGTCTTGCCCCTAAAATAATTTCATAAATGTGTTGCAGAAATAATTTTACTTCAACAAAGCAACAGCTCATGTCTAAGTTAATTTATATTTATAACAAAAATAAACAAGTAAAAACACATTGTTATTATTTATAGTTGATAAACATTATTATTGTTTGCAGTTAGTAAACACAATGTGTCTTTTATTTGTATACTTTGCACATTTATAAATGAATACTTTAAAATGTCCCTTCAAGACGTAAGCATGGAAAACAGCGCTCAGCCTGTGACCCAATGTTGCTAACACATGATCGTAAGGCGAAAGTGCTTGTCGAAATATCCATTTATACCTTATTTTCCTAAGTTAGGTTTATGTTATCCCCTTCCTGTCTGTGTGTCCGTGTATCCTCTCTTGTCAACTTTCGAATACCTGAACCCATCTCTATGAAACTTGGTGCGTATATCATGGCACCTGAACCCGTCAATCTGTATCTTTACATACTGTAGCGCATGCATGTCAAACTCAACTTGTACAGAGGGCCACCTCAGCCCTATAAATAATAGTCCAGGGCCGCACTTCAAAATGGAAATATACACGTACATTAGATTTTGATACAAGGAAATTTAATTCTATTTATTATTTAGGAATAATTTAAATATAATTACCTAAAGTCACATATCTTACAGTTTTAAAAAGCAAGAGAATGCCATTTTTGACAAGTATCAAACAGCTTTTCAATATATAAAAAGAGAGATTACACAAGAAATTATGTTAGAAATAGCAAAACATTGAATTTCCTGCAGCCTGCAAATTTATGTCTGCGTGAGACATCTTGTCTTCTGGGCTGTTGGAAAATTGTGTTTACAAAAAATATTTCTACTAAAAATTTAATATTGATTTTAATATCAATTTGCTCTAAAAGTTGAGGGGCCGCACTTTTTGGCTATGGGGGCCGCATGTTTGACACGGCTGTTGTAGCGTGTACAGCCGTTGAAATGCAACAAAGGCGAGATTGCCTGATATACCAGGATCATTTCTCGGCAACGACTCTTTAACACATTCCAGCAGCAACAGGCACGAACGCAGCAACAGAAGAGCTGTGTTTTCTGTGTGGTCAGTGCCTAAATGTTATAAGCAAGGGACAAGGTTAGAGCTTAGTCAGTTCAGTCAGTTCTGTACGAGAGTTTGTGTAGAGAGGACTTGAGCGCGTGAAGGTGAAAATTCTCCACTGTTCGAAGCCATTGTTAGAGGACGGCTGATGAAGACACAGCAGGCTGGAAAATTTTAGCTGGCGCTATGGCGATTTGTGAATTGTGGAGATTAGCGGCTGCGCTGTAATTCCTTGTTCAGAGTCATGGGTATAAATGGTCAATAAATCCATCCACCAATCGAAACCTTGTATATGGTCACACATTCATTCATTAGTAATCTGTCAGACGACAGGTCCACAGTCTCTTCCAAAACAGTTCCTCCACTTAATGCGATCTTCTGTTTTTGGAAAGAGACTATCCAGGAAAAGTGATAATGTGGCAGTTTTTCCATTTGCTTTCCACATCGCAGTACAGCAGCCGTTCAAACCACTCTGGTCACGCCTGTTGCTATACGAACTTGAACCATCTCGAGCATCATTTTCTCTGTGCTTCAAGTCGCTGCTGATGACGCTGCTTCCGGCAACAGTTTTTGGTGTCCCTCTTCGTCTGATGCCTACCCTTTGACCTGTCCAGCAAGGGAGGCCCTGCCAGTAGCTACGCTACCGCTGGTATAGCTCTCAGGGTCCTTGGAATATGATAAGGTGGAGACACCAAAGAGGGTGCAATATGTATGCCCCTATAGTTGATAGGCAACAGTTCGGTAAGAAAATTTACCGCGGCAAAGAATACACACGCAACAAGAGAATTGTCGGAAGCGTCGTTTTCAGTACGGTCCGTGTTGTAACAATCGAAAATAAGCGTATATGAGTCCGATTCTCTTACTGAAGGATGAAGAAGCGATCTTTTACTCGAAGGCGTAAATACACGTATATAGAATAGGCGATGCATGGGCGTACTTATTACACCGTGGAACACCATGGTTGATGACGTTAGCCTACTGAAGGACAATATGTCCCTTGTTTTCAGCCCTTCTGGATCTTAGCTACCTGAGCGTCAAAGTCTAGACATGCGTTCTATGTTAGTGAAGCTGCTACAACACTCCTCCGTTGTATTCTGGAGGTCACAATTGAAGTTTTCTGTTCGTAGATTCTCCAGAGTCCCTCCAGGCAAATCTTATGACATGACATTCACAAGTATCAGCCCAGTCGGTAGTGTACAATGTTTATACAATATGGACCCTGCCTGAACACGGTAAAAAAGAATTTGGAGTGGTTCGTATCGTTCACAAAGAAGCGACTCAATATTTATGACAACGATTTACTTCTGTCGTGGGCACGCCGTGGCGTAGTTGGTTGAGGACCTATACTACAAGCCAGAACGTCGCGGGTTCGAGTCCCGATTAGGTGGATTTTTTTCCAATTTACCTAATCCTTCCAGCCGCACTGTGACCCTGGGGTTTGGCTCAGCCTCTAACAGAAATAAGTACCAGGAATCTTCCTGAGGGTAAAGGGCGGCCGGTGCGTAAGACTGACAACCTTACCGCCATCTGAGAGCCGACTGTCTACAGAAAATGTGGGAGCCTCGACTTCTCATAAATCTGCAGTCTTTCACGGTCTGTTACAAGGATAGCTTTGCCTTTTTTTTTTATTAAGGAACACAGTTCAAGAACTAAAATAGAATTCTTATAGGTAGATTAGTTTGGTGATGAGCTTGTGCAGGTCGAAACTTGTAGCCAAAGCCTTTGCCTAATAAAGGAATATTAATAATTTAGTATCGATTTTGTTTGTTGATATTATTGTTGTGTAGGCGGTCCTATTAACTCTACAAGTTAGAGAAGGTAATGACGTAAGTTCTGAGGTGTTAACATTTCTGATTTTGAACATTCATCAACTTAGATTTTGCATAGTGTTTTTATTTTTGCTATCGCCTTCAAACTCTGTGTGAGAATTAAAAAAAATGACAAATGACCGAAGTACGAGTATTAAAACATTCGAATACTGTCTTGTATTTGTGAGACGTGCCAACGTTATACGTAAACTTTCAAAGCATTTCTCGCCTTGTCATAACAGCTACATCTGGCACAATAGAAGAAGCTGCCTATCAGCATAGGACACATGGACGCATAGACGTGGGCATGCCCCAGAAATTGAAACTACAAACGGAAGCACAGCAATCTCATCAACAATTTTAATGTTGCCTGAAGACGAGCAACGTTGGTAGAGACATGTAGTGTGCATACACCAGTGATGCAGAAGAAATCTAAATCTTTAGAACTTTTGAAGGCTTTAAAAAGCAAGTTTCATGCGAGATGGCCGATAGCTGACAGGCATATCACAATGTCGGATCACAGGTCTCCCAAATGCAGTACTCGTAGAAGTCTACACGAACGGGTTAATCCGTATTTATTACAGAATTTCAAAACTAAATGCATAAGTGTGTGCATGTCTGCTATTAATACAAGATCAACTTGGAATTTTATTTCACGAAAGTTTAAAATAAATTATTTAAATTCTTAATTCCTCAGGGGACGTGGATCCTCGGTGATGCGGCACGGACCACCCCCAGACAGCAGTGTGACGGAGACCAGCCTGACGAGCAGTGTGTGCGGGTCTCCCAGCAGTGGGGCCACCAGCATCAGATCACCCGAATGTCAGCGCCTCAACCGCTCGTCCACACGGCGCAGCAACAAGCCCATAAAAATAAGTGTGAGCTACCCGAGTAGCGACGCCATTAGCACTAGCACTAACAACAACGGCGGGATGCCACCCTCTTCCTCCCCGAGTCCCAACAGCTCCAAGAAGTCGAGTTTCTCTTCGTCTTCCCCACCCCCCGGCCTGTACGCTGTCCACTACACAAATGGGAACCGGGAATCCACATCGAGTACGTACCGCAGAAGCGATCCCAACTGTCACCTGCGGGTGACAGGGTCGCGCCTAGCCTCACACAACCGTCGGCGGAGGAGCAGTACAGACAGCACGCTGGCGCCAGGATCGAGTCAGCAGCTGCTGGAGGATAAGGATCTGTCGCCCTCGCCCACCTTCGACGAGAGCAACGCAGCCAACAAGCCCAGGCTCATCTCCAGGATGGGGAAGCGTAACATCAAGGCGCAGGTGAAGCGCTTCCGCATGGAGACCAAGGCTGCTAAGACACTGGGCATAATCGTGGGCGGCTTCATTGTATGCTGGCTGCCTTTCTTCACCATGTACTTGGTTCGCGCTTTCTGCGAGGACTGCATCCACCACCTCTTGTTCTCCGTCCTTTTCTGGCTTGGCTACTGCAACTCTGCTATCAACCCTTGCATCTATGCTCTCTTCAGTAAAGACTTCAGGTTCGCCTTCAAGAGAATTATCTGCCGCTGTTTCTGTGCAAAGAAACTGACGAATGAAACTCGCGACTGGACAAGACGGAGAGGCTCAGATGGTTCTCAGCTCGGAGCCCGTATGCTGGAGCCCGGGTCTGACAGAGGTAGATCTCCCTCAAACAACAATACCCAGCAGTACCCCCAGAACTCGATGGGTGAGGACAGCGACCAAGGGAATGAGGGATCTGACTCCAGGTGACCTCCAATGCTGTCACAGAAAGCGTGGAGCAAATATTTTTTTGTTCTCTGTGACTTCAGTTGTTGTGCAGGGAACTGCTTCTTTTTTAAATTTATTTTACTTCAGTAAGAAATAGCGAATTCAAATGCGGTATTCGACTGTACTTACATAAAAACAAGGACATTCACAATTCTGCTGTGAATAATTTCAGTTAGCAGGACACACATTGCGATTAACAATATTATAATGAATGAGCTTATATTTTCAAGACAGTATTTCGTTTCAGTTTCTTGTATGACTACATGAATTGAGGCCCAGTCACAGAAATGTATACAGGGGTGTAAAGTTGAGGAACCTAAAGTTGTTGCCGACTGGTGGCTCTTCCATGTCGAGTCTGCAGCGACATGGAGGCGCAGCCTGTGACGAAACAATTCTGGAATGAAAATATGTATTACATTCAGGAATGACAAAAAATGTTTTCTGTCTGAGGGAACTTGAAGGAAGATATTTATTTTCTGAGTCTGAGCCAACTATCTTTGCATTAATACCTATGACTATCATTAAATCAATTTTTATGAATAAATTCGCTTTAAAAACTTATGCCTTGCCTGCTGTTGAAGAAATATTTACTCTCTTTTGAATGTGGATCTCTTACTTAATAGTACGGTCTGCCCTTAGAGGACTGAAATTACAAATCAAAAAATTCTCTTTTCAAACCATCGCTTATGCTGACAGTTTTCAATTGATGCATTCCTAGGCGTGCATCACAGCAGGCTAAGTAATGGCACTGCACACTTTCAATATGGAGCATTATAGTCCCTGACTTGCTACCCACACCAGCATTATCTCTGTATTTCTTTCATATAATATTGAAATACTGAGGAAACACCTTGCTTTACTGTTCATCAAAGTTCTAGTCAGACTGAAGCTAAGTCATGGTGGACTAGCACCATCCATCACATTGGATTGTGCACCCTGAGAATTAATCCATGAGTGTGTTTCGGCACTGGCTTCAGTAGTGGAACGTTAACTGTTTTAAACAAAGTGCAGCATATTTCTGTCTTCAGTCTGCAGGAATGAAGTGAAAAGGAATGGTTGTCTGTAAGTCGGTAATAATCTCGTTAATCCTGGTGTGAATTTTTAAGTTTATTCACTTGTATTGCTTATATGGAAACCATTATCAATTGTGGTAAATAATTTCAGTCAGAATCAAATCTAGAAAATTTACACAAATTTTACCTCTCATATATTGTTCCAATACAAGTTTGGTTATAAATCTGATGACCTTACAACCTGCAACCTCACAGGTAACTAGATAATTCTTTCTCTGAATTATTTAGTAACATATATATTTTGGTTTATCTGAATCGTAACAACAGAATGCTAATATAGAGTATGATATATAGTCATAAAAATTTGAAATATTGGAACAACATGAAAATAATAAGGGGCTTTCAAATTGTAATTATAATCATTTTAAAACATGTCCAATACATCAAAATTTTCAGAAGAAATTAATATATAAAATTATTGTGGTCCATTCAGGTTTTCCTTGCATAGGCTGCAGTGTTTTAGTTAATCACAAAATTCCTGATGAATTTTAGTAATAATCAGTTGTATGTACTCAGGGGAATCAGCCAGAATGCAAATTTTGAGTAAAATATTGTAACGTGTTTCGTTACTGATCCCACTTCTGACACCAATGTAACGTGTCTTGCGTTACCGAAGACGCCGTTTAGATCGTTAACTGGTTTATTGAACAATCTACAAATAACGGCTACAACTAATTATCACAATGTCACGGGTTTCCACAGTTTACAAACCCTACAACAAAATCTCTTAACACCGTCTTCACTTGTCTTCACTTATTAATAACGCGGGAGCTATACAAGTCTCCCTGAATTACACACTTCGAGTACAACTGTACTACAGCAATCACTATGTCTGGAAAGCACACAATAAGTCTTCCGCTCGCCGACTTCTCAGTTATCGCACACTCGCAGGCTGCTATGTTTCAACTGATTATCACACTGTTGTGGGTCCGCTTATATAGCCTTGCGCTGTTGCTAGTGTGACGTGGCGGATAGCATAGGACGCTGTTGCTAGCGTGACGTCACCGCTGTTGATTAGCATTGCGTAGTTGCCAGGTTACGGGGCTCGGCTATCTTCGGCTCCGCTCGGCTCTCTTCGGCTCCGCTCGTGACGTCACCGCGCGTTGCGCATTGCGGGGTGATTACTCGCCTATTACGGGAGCGTTACGTTACCGCTGAGGGGTGGGAGGGGAGCGCTGACTCACCCGCCGCGTCACTGCTGGTGTGGGGGGGGGCTCGGCTTTTCGCACATGTCACAATATTTAACCTTCCAATATGTTGCTTGCAATTTTCCTTTCAGTTCATGTGTTATTAAAGTTTATATGTGTGTGTGTGTGTGTTTGTGTGTGTATGCGTGTCTACAAAAGATCAGTACAGGGATTGCATGCTTCATAATTTGTTCCCTGAAAGAGATGAAAAGGTACATTTTTCAGTGAACTCAGACTGACATCGATACATCATGATATTTTCCATGTTGAAAATTAATAATATGATATGACACAATATGAATTATAGTAACTTTCTTCTTTTTCACTGACAATTTATATTGTGATGAGCATAACATGAGCTGTGTTCTAGAAGTGTAAACTACAGATATAAACTACCAAACACAATTATTAATTCAAACAATGTACTTTCACAAAGACAAATTAAGATGCAATACAGGCTCCTATTTCTTATAAAGGCACTTCAGTGAATGCTGATTTCAACGAGTTACGAAACTGGCTTATGAATTTTCTGTGTACTAAGATATCAGAATTATTTCTTGGTCACATGAATTTGTAGCATCAGACATTTTGAAACCAAGGTGGAAAGAATTATAGATATGAGAAACTGAATGTCCGTCTTTGCTCATGTTACTATTTTCAAGTAACTTACAGTTGTCTCATGACTGGAAATAATAACTTCATGTTTGAAAACTAAGTGACATTGTAAGGCACTGATGTCACTGGACATTCAAATGATGGATAATTCCAAGGCTATTCCATCTTGGAACTAGGATATGCACTTAAGCAGTTTGAAAGGCAGTTTCTTAAGTGTAAGGGATAAGCTCCCCTTAAAAATAACCTACTTGCTCTCCAATACTGTACACAGCATGATCGGTTACCAGACTATTGATGTATCCATTATCCACAAATGTTGTTCACTGAGGAACAACAAGGAGCAACTCTCTGACCACAAGGGAATGTCAGTTAAGAAATACTGCAGACATAAGACTAGTGCTGTACAACATTTACATTTCTGATGATATGTACTCGTAAATAATACATTAGAAAGCTGTTTTGTCATAAACAAAGGCCTAGATCATGATTTTGCTTTGTATAATGAAGTAGTTACAGCATATAAAATGTGGACAAGTGTTCCCCATGGGTCTACCAGAATAATTTAGTGCAGTGCATGGGCCTGATCTTCAAAAGTGGACAGCATGAACAAGTCAAGAAACTGCAATTAATACTTCCCATATTTCAACATTTAGCACAGTGAATGGGGTTGTCAGAAAATATTTTCTCTAGAGGTGTGCATTGTGCATCGGTTGAAGGTAAAAGTCAACTGAAAATTTCATGCAAGAGATTTGATAATAAAGATTCAAGCCACTTTTCATGCGCTGTGGATTTGACTGACAATGGCAGAAATCACAGTTATGTGAACTGAAAAATTTACTGTGTGGTGTGGTAGTCTGTGTTCTAAGAGTGTGGCATATGTTACCCTTTTTTTATGTGTCACAAATAGCCAGACATCTAATTTCTGCCAGAGACATCTTTCTCAAAGTACAGATTGCTCCTCAAAAGAGAAAATTATTGAGTAAATTCATACACCTGAAGCTAACATGTCATAGATTCCTAGCATTAAGGTACTCTACAAAATGTTGTGATACATGCCCCATAGAGGGCATCACTGAACTATCTGATGGAGAAGAGAATATCTGACTTTTAACAGTTAATCCATAAAATATATGTGCTGTGTGTGTTTTAATTGAAAAGTAAGGTATGAATTTTCTTAATATTTTCCTCTTCCCTGAGATTCTGCATATCTGTAGCCTGACTTCCGTAACTAGTGCCATCTTGTTGTTATCACATGAACAATTTTCTATCACAACTGATATCTCATTATAATAATGAGGCACCAGATCATAACAATGTCAACAGAAATGTCATTATTCTCAAGTGTACCTATTGTATATTCACTGTACATTTAAACAACACATTTAAAACGGGTATTACCAGTAATGTAATTATAAAATTTATAGATACTGCCTAATTTCATTTTTGTGCTCATTTGCTACAACACTTACAAAGCAGTAGTCACATTAATATTATTGTTATTATCGTCATTGATATCATCATTATTATTATGAAACCCTTAGTAGTCATTGTTACATGTTATTGTTTGATATTGTAGCCTATATCTTCTGTAAATGTCCTGTAAATTTCATGTTTCAAAGCCAAAACAGGAAAAGAGGGGTATCTATAAGTTATAGTCTATAGCTGGATATGCAGTTCCTCCTCCAGCTTATCCAAATGTGATATAACTACTACTCCTCAGCATGCATGTGTGAAAGATTGCCTGTTGTGTATATCTTGTGTACAAAATGTACTTATGTTGATCACTAAACATAAAGATGTAAACTCATTTCTGTTTTTCAGTTCCCCAAACTTCCAGAAAGATAGATATGTGGCCATGTTGCCTGTAGCTCCCTTTTTAGAATATGAGGTAATGATAGAAAATGAGAAGTATTGATTTTCAAAGGAAAATATTGATACCTACACTTGTGACTCATCTACAGGACAAAATTAACTGGTACTATAAGTTTCTGATATTGAAAGCAAGGTACATATGTTTGAAGGTATGTGCAAATCTCAAAGAATGATACTAAGAATAAAAGCTCTTACATACTTAACAATATGTAACATGAAGTTATGTTGGTCACAGTCATATAATGTGACATGTTATATTTCATAAAATGTATGGAGACAACAGTTACAAAATTTTGATTGCAGGATATGAGTCTTTTTTAATTTTGCTTTAAATTCTGTTGTATTATTATTTTTATGATTATAACTGTAGTTCTGTTAATGTATATAACTATGAGCAATATTATATTTAAGCATCCTGTTACACTCACACGATATATATGAGACAAACTCCGTCTTAAGTGCAACAATTTAATTGTAGTTCTTTCTTCTTCCCTCCCTCCACACTACATGTTTCGGCCCTAAATGGCCATCATCAGGTGTGTATTCTTACGTAGCTGCTACACTGCCCGTAGTTTGAAATTTAAAATCAGCAGTCTTTCTAATTGTATGTATGTATAAAATCTTTGTTAATCTACACGCGTCAATTTGATTTCTACAATTGGCACTTTTTTAAAACTTCAATTCAAATTAAAATGTCTATAAATTTACTGTTCTTTTCCTTTTTCCAAATTTTTAAAAATTAAAATTTTCTCAGGGTACACGCCCTATGTCTATAGTGCTGCAGCGGCCACTTCTTGTTTTATCGCTGTTCATGTATTGTCTGTAATATACAAATATTCATATTACTATCTTATGTTATGTTATGTTATTCTTATATGTTTATACTGTTATTTGTACTTACTCTGTGTAGGCTCTCTCTGTGTATGTCGCTGCTTATCTTTAATACGTGTGTTGTCTGGTGTATTGTGTGCTGTGTTTTATGGGTGAGTGTTGGAGGGGGAATGGGTAGTGGGGAGAGGGAGGTACCGTTAGTCTGTATAGATTTCGTGTATCGTTTGAAATATGGGATTTTAATATGGTGATTTTAAATTTTAAACTACGGGCAATGTAGCAGCTACGTAAGAATACACACCTGATGATGGCCATTTAGGGCCGAAACATGTAGTGTGGAGGATGGGAAGAAGAAAGAACTACAATTAAATTGTTGCACTTAAGACGGAGTTTGTCTCATCTATATAACTATGAGGGTTGGAAATTTAATACTGGCAACACTGCTATAGAGACGCCACGCAATGGAACCAAATAATGTCACTTATACCAGATGTTAGTTACATACCTATCTTACCGCAGAGCAAATGAACTCTCCCTTCCCACATCACGCGCATGCGCAGTGACGAGAAGAACAGAGCCTCGTGTTAGCTGGCCGATTTAATGCTGTCACAATGTTTTCGAAACAGGAACAATGGAGTTGAATAAAGATTGAATGTGCCAGAGGCCGTAGAGCACATCAGTGTCATCAAGGTCTTCAAGAGGCTTGCGGGGAATCTGCACTGCCTTACAGAACAGTGGTAAGGTGGGTAAAAGCCTTCAATGAGGGATGCCAAAATGTGGCAGATATGCGTCGGCCAGGTCATCCTAGTGTCGGTGAAGAAGAAGCGTGTGCTATTTCCGCGTTACTGGAGAGTGATCGACGCCATACGATTCGTGAGCTGGCCCTAGAGACAGGATTAGCGCATATGACTTTGCTTCACATTCTGAAGGAACACCTGGGCATGAGAAAAATTGCATCATGATGGGTTCCGCATGATTTGACGGAAATGCAGAAATGGCTACGGTATGACGCTGCTCGTAACCACTTGGAGCGCTATGAGCACAAAGGAGAGGCTTTCTTATGCCATATCATCACGCTGGATGAGACATGGGCCAAATCGTACGA